ATTTTATACTGGAACACAAATTCATTAGCTCTAAAGATTAGCGATATTGTTTAAGAAAATGAACAAGCAAACAAACTTACTGATACAAACTAAATAGCCTTTTGTCAGGTTATCCTCACCTAAAAACCACATATGTTAAAGGGAGAGTTGTCTTTTTCTCTACAAACTTATCTACACAGGCAAGTTCTTACAAAGCAAACTAGGGTGTAATTTTATAGAACACAAATTACTCCATACTAACTCTGCAGGATCACTCAGCACACACTAACTTTACTGCTCAGAGGCATTTCAAGTGTGCCATAGATTCACATCCTCATTTACCCAACCTTAATTTACCAGGTAAACAATCCCTTAGTGAAAACTCTTCTGTTAAAGATTTAGGCAGCTGTTCTCCCATTTTTCAAAACAAACTAAAAGTTAAATTTTTAATACAATACATATATTAGAAAGAATAAGCTGGATAATGTAGTAAGTGACCTCTGATGGCGAATGCAGGAACTGTTTGATATACACATGTAACATCACCATTTAACTGCTTGATTGCTTTTGCTACAAAAATGCTCTTACGCTGTTATTCTTTTTGACAATATACTGCTTTATGTTGTAACAGCAACTAGGAAGTGTCATCGTTAAGCACTTACAATCTTTAGAAACAAACGGTCTCTCATACCTCTAGACAGGTATCCCACACTGCCAGAACACATCCATTTGGAGCCCATTCAATGCCAGCCAAGTCTTGAGTTTCAGTGTCAAAATGCTTTCCAAATGTAGAGAAAAGAAAACTGAATAGTTAAACACACAGAACACCGTGTTTGCATACCAGCTCTACAACTTAATAGAACAATCCACTCTAAATTATCACTTCTACTTACTTAGATCCTATTGCTAAGTTAACAGATTTTTCCTGTGTTTGATTATATAAAACAAAATTCCTTTTCCTTTGTTATAATATTCTGCTTTCACTCTTTCCTTATTTTCTCTAGGGAAGATAGACGTAATTAAGCTTTCTTAATATGAAGTGCATTTCCTGGTGGCCTTTCATAGCATGCATTCTTTAGACTGCATAGTCTACTTTAAATAGAAAATACAGACACACTGTATTTTACTCAAATCTAGAGACAACTCTGAATTTAAAAGGACCCCCCAATAATTAGATCCCACACAACGAAAAATCTTAATTTGGTATTTTTATAAACAGACCTACTGACAAAAACTACAGTAATACCAGGGGTGCATCAACACATGCACTTCAATGCAGAATAGACCAACTAGCTCCACAGTAAAGCACCACCTTCTACAAGTGCACCGGTATTAGCACACAGTAAACAAATTAAATCCACCGTAAGAAATATCTTACAGCAGAGTAATTAACGGCCCTGAAATGCATGTGTAAATGGTGACTGGGCAGGGGCCAGACTCCTGGTGGCTGCCTAGGCAACGGCCCCACAGGTTTTGCACCCTCACGTTCCAGCCAACCCCAATGCTGCCACCCACAGCCTGCAGCTGACCACGCCCATGCCCCCTGCCAGCCCGGGCCTGCTCTGCCCCAGCTCAAATTGCTGCTGTCCCAGGCACACATGTAGATGCTCCACCTGAAAGCAGTTTACTTTGGCTCAAACAGCTCTGGAGTTTATTGCTTTGCCTTAATTTCACATGTAGATGCACCCAGTAAATCGTAAGTTTGAATTGGAGCTAATGTGAAACATTAACTTAATTTATATTAGGTTCTGTCCAGAATCTGGCGAGTGCTACTCCTTTCAGACCTACAACTTAGGACTGGTCACTTTCATATGTATCCTCACACTCCTCACTGTTCTCATAAAACATCATCTTCAGTTCCATCCATGGGCACTGGATATACAGCACTTCTTGAAGCCTTTAAAAATGGATTCTGAAAATACCCTTTCCCAAGAAGTCAGAATCTATTGGCAAAGTAGTGTTATGGTTGGCTTCATAATCTTCCCACCAGATCTAAGCACATGGTTCCCTGCCACGAGCGAGTCTGAGTACTGACACCATAAATTGTCATTAAAGGGCTTATTTACTGACATCCAATACTTGGAGTTGAAATGTCATACCAGCAGATCTGACTACAAGATCACAATTCACGGACTGAATTTTTACTTTCACATCTGATGTTAAATACCTTCTGAATGCATCTAACTCCAACATTCCTCTTTTCTTTAGCAGTGCCCCAGGTCTCCATTTCCACACAACATCTAAAAAGTCATTCATCAGTTCACTTGACATCCATTCTTGTTCTTGGCACCTAAACACTACTTTTAACAGAACCGTTTCTTTTGGCAGAGTTTTGCTTTCAGAATCACATAGGCTGGCAATTTTCTCCCATCCACCAATACTGCTAACATCACTAATTCACAACTTTTCATTTCCTGCATTTCTCCTAATTATGGATTTTGTGCCTCTCATGGATGATACCATTGGTTGGCATGTCAATATAGACTGTAGTCTCATCAGCATTACATCTCTGGCCCAGCAGGTAATCATATTTTGTGTAGCTCAATAATGTAGCAGCAGAATTCAACAAGTCTTTTGCTGCAGTCTGATGGTAATTTTTGCACAAGTGGTGTTCTTTATCTTGCGACTAAGCCACTACGTCACATCATTTGGATACAACCACTCACTACTTGCTTTGAATTTTTGAAGAGGAACGTTCAATTCCTTTGCTATTTCTAATGCCTTGAGTCAAAGCACTTCACGGGTAATTGGCATCCCCCTCCTTTCTCTTTTCTTGAGCATACTTGAGAACTTGCTTATCAGATTTCAGAAAAGTGACCTCTTTTTGGATCCCTGAATATTTTCTGTGTGGACTTAGCATTTCCGGGTTTTCCTTTTAATTGCTTCTATCAATGCACAGTTGCTTCAGTAATACTATAACTTCCTTCCCGCCTCATAATTATATTTTTTTAGCATAATTTACAACCTTCATTTTTAAGTTTATATCACAGCTGCACCATAATCCTTTTGGTATCTTCACATTTGTACCACTTCTTCCTTTTCTTACTCCATGGTGAGCATGTCTACATGAGACGTTTATTGCGCAGTTGACTTACTGCACAGTAAATGTTTCAGTGTCTACATGTGCACCTCTATTAGGGTGAATTAAACTAATAAACTCTGCAGCAGGGTAGTACTTGTAAATACAAGTATTACCCTGCTGTGGAGTTTCTTTGCACACAGCAGGACATGTGTACACACTGCTTTGGCTGGCTGGGGCACAGGGTGCTTCAGTGTGGGGCCAGCTGGCAGGCAGCCCCCGCACTGAAGCACTTTCATGCCTCAGCCAACTGCTCCGCAGCATATGGAGCCCAGCTGGAACAGCCCTGGGCTAGCAGGCTGACCTCCAGGTCCCCTGCCAGCCCAGGCTGCTCCAACCAGGCTCCACGTGCTGCACTCAAGAACTCTGGAGCAATAAGCTCCAGATTTTATTCATGCACATTAATCACACATGTAGACATGCCCGGTCTGTAATGGGGTTCCCCTACCACTACTAACCCCACAGAATTTGCCATAGTTTTAAATTTGGGCCAGTCAGTGGTGATCAGGCCCTGTGATCTGCTGCTTTCCCTGCTACCCTGCTGGCTGCTCTCCTGCCACCTGCCCCTCTGCTGGATACTTTGCTGCCCGGAGCCTTGCTGTGTGCAAGGTCCCTCACTGGCTAGCTTATGCTGGGCGCCTCGTTGTTGCCTCGCCACAGGCTGGATCCCTTGTCACTGCTGCCTGGTCCCTCACTGGAATTTCTAGGAGTCTTGCCATGTGCTAAATCCCTTATTGCCACTGCTAGGAATCTCAGTGTGCACTGGATCCCTCCCTACTGCGGCCCAGAGCTTTGCATTGGGTCCCTCACCATATGCGGTGTCCCTCGTCACTGCAATTAGGTCCCTCCCTGCAACATACAGAGTGTCTGGCTAGCCCCCGAGGGTCCCTCCTCCTTGAGTGCTAGCCAGCCCTTCTTGGGTCCCTCCCTGCTGTGTACTGACTGGGATCCCTCCTTCCTGGGTAATGACTAGCCCCTGCGGGGTCCCTTCCTGCTGTGTGCTTGCCAGGCCCTCCCCACAGTGTGCTGGGTGCTTGGCAGGCAGGTGATCAAGTGACTCCCAGCTGCTGCCTGGTCAGTGGGTACCAAGACAATTCAGCATGTGCTGGCCAGGCTCCTTGCACACAACTCAGTGACCTAGCAGGCACTGGTAAGGCACTGCCCCCGCAACATGCAGGATCTCTGGCCTGTATGTGCTGAGTCACTCTGAGCTGCTGCCCCAGTCGCAAGTGCCAGAGCAACTCAGCATGCATTGACAGCCTGGGCTGTGTTCCTTGCCACATGCTAAGTTGTTCTGGCACCCACCACTTGAGCAGCAGCTCAGAACAACTCAGTGCATGCTGGCCAGAAACCCCACATGCTGCGGGGACTGTGCCTGGCTACTGTCCACCAGGTCATTTCAAGCTGTGTCCAGGGTTCCTGGCCAGTGGGTGTTGAGTCGCTCTGAATAGCTGCCTGCCAGCACATGTTGAGTTAATTTGTCACCCTCTGAAGAGAAATCCTGCATGCAGCTTGAAATGACCAGCAGGCGCTGGACAGGCACAGTCCCTGCAGCATATGGGGTTTCTGGCCAGCATGCACCAAGTCCCTTGCTGTGTTCCAGGTTGCTCTGGCACCTCCTGTTTGAGCGGCAGCTCAGTCAGTTGGCATGGGCTGGCCAGAAACCCCATAGGCTGTGGGAACAGTGCCTGGCTGATACTTGCTGGGTCATTTTGAGCTGCCTGAAAGATTTCTGACCACAGGGTGCCAAAGTAACTTGGCATGCATTGGTAGGCAGCAGCTACGAGTGACCCTACACTAGCTGGCTAGAAACTCTGCATGCTGAGAGGAGGGTGGCTTGCATGAGCCTGGGCACCCTCTGCTGGTTGGCCATGTGACGGGTGCCTGGCTGTGCTCTCTCTTCACTAATTTCATTGTCCCCTGCGCATTTTCTGATTCCAGGTAAATCATGTGCAATAAGACCAGGCTTAACCCACGTTGAGTGGGGGAAGGGGGAACCCTCATCTTATAATCTACTAAATACAGCAAGAATAATGTTGTAATTTACAGATTAGATTATTAATTTGCAAGTTCTTTTCAATGTACTTGATACAATGTATTTTACTGTAACGATAATTCCTCAAGAACTAAAGACAAGATATTGGCAGGGCCTCACAACAGAAGTGTGGCACTTCAACAGTAAAGTTTGTGATAACCTGAGCAGATTTTTCCACATATTTGTACACCAACCAGGGAGTGAAAGAGATGCTCTATATTTGCAAGTCTAAACATGAAGAATTAAAGCAGTTTGGTCACTTAGTTGTAATTTCTACTAAAGAGTGTACACTTGAGATCTGTGCAATAGCAGTGGAATATTAAGAGATGTCTTACCCGCAAGAGTTGCCAATCACTGCACACAAATAGGCTAATGAAGTCTTTGCAGTCACGCCTCTCTGCTAAGGCCATGTAGTGGCCATCTTTCGTAAACGCTATCCCTGCCAAAAAGGTTAGAGTTTTATGAGGTTAAAAAAAAGTAAAATTGTGAAGTCATAGCAACAGCTTTTCATGAAAGAACAGTTAAAATTTTTAATTTTCCTTTAGCCTGTCCTCTAACAGATTAACATCTGTTTCTTCTATGGCATCAAAGATTAGTTACTAGCTGGTTTGTTACCTTGGCAGTTTTTACGTGTTAAATATTTAATTATTTTGTCAGGTCACATGTTTAGCCACTGTCAGATCATGTTTATGTAAAACTGTACTTTAATAAAAGAAGTAAATAGAGATAAGTTAAATAAATTGAGATGGAAGAATTAGTTTTTAAACTAAGAAATTCATGCCCTTTCCAATATCAGTTCTCAACAGCTTTCACAAAATACCTGAACTGCTTCATGTAAGGAAGAGTAGCATGATCTCAGAACAGAAGGCAGCTAAACTAAAAGCTAAAATTCTAACTTCAGTTCTGACACTAATACCCTTTTCACATTTCTTAAATGGCAATTAAAGCCACTTATCTCTTTGAGGATTAGTATTAGTGAAGTGATAATATATCCAACCCACTGGCCAAACAACCACATTATTCACTGCTGTAATGGAGCGCATTAGGCACTTTGCAAAACTAAGCAAACTCCTTGTTCCAAAAAATCCCACAATCTAACAAGTGTTACCAGAAGTTGCTCCCACCCTTCTCTGAAGAGGCTATCATTGTACATGGTGCAAGTCTACCCCTTCTTGGGGTTTCACTTCAGTGGTAACAATAGTCTTCAACCCAAACTTTTCTCTCATCAAGCTTGGATGAGCCTACCATTTCCCCTGCACATTCTTTCTTTCCACCATATTTCCCTTTGTACCTACCCAAAGACACTTGCATCCCTTTTTCAATCCTTTCTGGAATTAATTAAAATGCACCTGCCACTAAGACATGGCAGTAAATTACTTTCTCATCACACATAGCTCAAGCACTGGACATCAATGTCTTGAACCTCTGTACAAGGTCTCAATATGCCACCCTGTTGCAACCACGTTTGCATGGATCAAGTAGGGATGCATAGAAAAGAAAGAGTAACGGAGAAGGCATTTATATGCTTTTGTGTCATTCTAGGCTCTCTAGCTATATTATTTACAGAAAAAAAATCACTAGTTACTGTAAGACCTCACAACCATTTTGTTCAGCATCTTTTTTAAAAAAAGACATGGGAAATGGCCAATTAAATAAGCTAAATGCAACACTTGCATCTCAGGCAGTGAGAACATGATTACAGGGTAGTTTTCACTGCCACTGACTACAATAATGGTAGGACAGCTTGCTGAAGGAAGATATACATGCCCCAAGGCTGATGTACAATTCAGGTGGCAAGAACTCAGATGCACCCAGATCCTAAACATATGTTTGATCATTATATATAAATTCCATTCTCTGCTGCCATTATTAAAAATACCATTCCCATATTAGGTTTGATACACTCACCCTGCTGACAGGCTTTGGGATACTTGATATAAGATACAGATTTTGTACACAAAGACCAGACAGTTATCCGCAGCTGTTGGAGAGAACAAGACAAGATAGTATTTGTTTATCTTTGCAGCTGAAAAAAACTATACAGGGAACCTAGTTCCAGAACACCGAATGCTCCATTAGAAGAGCGCATGCTACTCTGCATATTTTTTTCTGAGAGTCTCATGTCAAAATATATTAGACCACAGAACCCAAAATATTTGCTAATATACAAGAAACATTCTTAGACTCCCTCTATTGTGATATTTAATTATTTTTTATTCACAAGCATCTTTTCATAACACATTTATATAAATCTTCTGTAAGGCCCATTCTATTAACTTGTCTAACAATTCATCAAGTTAAAAGCATCCACAGAACTAGTACTTTTGCTGTTCTGTTTTATTTCTTTGTTGCATTGTTTTCAGGTGTAATGTACTGCAGCCATTACAAAAAAAAATTCCACTATAATGCAGTATACAGTTATCTCGGATAACTGCATACCCACTTCTGAACTTTTAAAAGCAGGGAATTGCATGAGGAAACAAAAGCAAACAGCCCTTCCATGTTAGATGCAGATGTGTAAGAGTTTACATTGAAAAGGTAGTCTTACCTTGCAAGAAATTTTGGCAACAGAAGCCTACTATGTACATTAATAAATTATAAGAATTTAAAATGCAAGTAAACATGAAAGACAAAACAGAACACCAATTCTGCACTGTCCATGTTCAATTCAGTTGCATATTCCCAAATTTTCCCACATAATTGGAGATCAGCATAGGTCTGATGCAATATCTAGACCTAAGGAATGGAGTTAAGTGCTATACATCAACTGTGTTGTCTTTGCTTTTCCTTAGTTCTATGAGTTTAATGAAAAGCTTGACAAAACATTAGCATGGGATCCTAAGTAAATCTAAGATCTGTAAGCACTCAGTTCCCATAATTAAAAAAAAATATTAGCGACATTTATGCTTTGCAACACTTGAGCTACAAGATGCAGAACACTAACACTACTTCAATAAAAGTAATATTAGATGTGGATAATAGGAAAAGAGTAACTTCACACTGTCTGTGTCTTATAGGTCACTTTCACCTACATCAGAGGCAGGCGATTATTTTGGGTGGAGGGCGACTTACCAAGTTTTGGGAAGCTGTCGAGGGCTGCATGGGTAGCCCCGCCCCTTGACAGTTGCCCCGCCCCTGGTTGCCATATTGGGACTGGAAGTCTGACCTCCTAGCCCCTGACCTTTGCCACTGGACGTCCCTCCCCTTGCCCTGGAAGTACTCCTTTTGGGAGGAAAGGTGCTGTGATCTGGAAACTGTGAAAAAGATATATATATATGTATATGTATACACCCACCCACACAAAAATACACACACGACATCTACTATAAACCTATTTTAATTTTATTTAAAAATGTTTTTCTACTAATTTATGTGTTTACAAAAAATGTATCTAGAAATGGCTGCATAATAGCTTAAAATACAGTCCTACTGTGTGTTTTGTGTGGGCAGCAAGGGGTATAAGTGGCGGTGTGGTTGGGAAGAGTGTGTGCGGTAGGGTGTGGGAATAGTGGCTGGGTGTGTGCTGAGAGCTGGGCCTGGGCTGCCAGCTCCATAGTGTGCAGCTATAACACACTGCATGTGAGCCTCACACAATGCACCCAGGCAGACCCCATGCCCTGGGTCTCTGCCAGTCCCAGGGCACTTGCACAGGCTCCATGTTTCCACCCACAACCACCTTTCCCTGCATTCCCTTCCTGCAGGCTTGCCCACTGCTCCCTGCAGTGCTGTCTGCAGCCCCCAACAGGGGGCATCGCCTGCCACAGCCCCGCTATGACTCCACTGCCTGGCACAACCCTGCCACTCACTGTGGCTCTGCCATCTGCTGGACCCTCCAGAGCTATGCTGTCCATTGGGGTCAGCTGTGCCTGTGCTGCTGCAGCCCGCTGGGGCTCTGCTGCCCGCAGGGTCCTCTTGGGGCCCAGCCGCGGCTCTGCCACCACCTGGGGCCCACCTCCTGCTGTGGCTCTGCCGTCTCCTGGGGCCTGCTGCCTCCCCACTGCCCACTGGGGCTCCGCCACCTACCAGGTCCCGCTGCGGCTCTGCTGCCCACTGGTTCCCACCGCTCGCTGGAGCCCAGCTACAGCTCTGCCACCTGCCAAGGCCCACCACCTGCTACTGCTCCACCACCCACCGCAACCCCACCAACTGTCGGAGCCTGCAACAGTTCTGTTGCCTGCCGTGGCTCCGCTGCCTCCCGGGGCTCACTGCGGCCCCGCCACCTGCTGGGGCCTGGCCATGGCTCTGCCACCTGTCGGGGCCCACTGTACTGCCTGCCGTGGCCCCGCTGTCCACCGGGGACCACCATGGCTCCGCTGACCGCTGTGGCTCCACTGCCTGCTGTGCACTACGTGGGTCCCACCACTCCCCGCAGCTGCCACTTCCCGTGCTGCTCCCCACAGCCCCCTCCCACTGCACCGCTCCCTGCAGCCCCAACGCTCACCGCAACCACCACTTCCAGCCACTCTTACCTCATTTTCCACTCAGAGGGAGGGGGAACAGCTCCAGGGGCAGGGGCCAGAAGCCGCAAAGACTTCTGGTTGGGGGCTGAGGGGAGCCAGGCTAGCCTTTATGCTTAGTCACAGGCTCCCGCTGGGTCCTACTTTTTTAGAAGCTCCGCGGGCCAGACAGAACAGGCTGGTGGGCCGGATCCAGGCTACAGGCTGTATTTTGCCCACCCCTGGCCTACATAAACAATTTTTAAGTCTCAAACAATGTGAAATAAATAGTTGAGAAAGAACAGAGAAATTCTTGCATTTAAGTCTTTAATGAAATTCAAGAGAATAGGAAACAGTGTCAATTCAAGACTTAGTGACTACGTGACTAGTTAATAAGTCTACACTATACTTTTCAGTTTTTAAAAAATCAAGACCCATACTATTTAATTAGCATCTCTCTCCTCTCTCCTCAACCCATGCCAAAAAACACTACGTTTCACGATTATCCAAGCTCAATTTACGGAAGTACCAACAGAAAGCAAACTATACAAAATAAGCTATTTCCATGGTGAGTGAGGTATTTTTGGAGACTTGTGCATCTGCAGAATGCAGGAACTGCAGAGGAGGCAGTCAGCTGCAAAGCAGACCTCTCCACAGCACTTCAAGGTCACAGCCTGCATTATGGCAGCTCCATGTTACCATCTACAGATTATTCAATTAAAAACAAATACTTACTCTCCCATAGCAACAGCAGCAACACAAAACACATGGTCTTCATCAATATGCCAAGTGAACCTTGCATTTATATTTGGAAATTGAAAAAAGTTATTTTCTTACATGATGGAGAAAGGTATACTAGGAAGAAAGTCCTGGTACAGTACCATCAACACCAACACATCTTACAACCAATAGCTAATATAATACATAAGTGTAGAATAACTATATCATTCTCCATATCAATTTTAATGGTTTGTCTAAGAAAGGAGGAAAATAAAACCATTAGATGATGTTACAGTCCTGAAGGGAGATATGGTTGCCTGCTTCAAGGCCTACACCAGGAGTAGGCAACCCCTGGCACGTGCCAGGGTGTGGCATACAAAGGCACTTTGCTTGGCACGTACACCAAGGCAGATGGCGGAAGAGCTGTGAGGAGTCTGATCCTTGTTGTGGCAGTGCAGCCTCAGCCCATGCACCTGCTCCCAGCAGCTAGCCAGGCTGGAGCTCCATGAACCAAAGTGGAGTTGCTTGCTCGTGAGCAGCCTGGGCTCTGTGGCAGGCAGGCAGGGCCTGCCCAGAGCCCAGGCTGACTATGGCATGAAACTGGGAGGCTGCAAGTGACTGCACCAAGGTGCACAGAGCCCCAGCCTGGCTCACTGCTGGTGGCAGGTAAACACATACCTCAGGGCAGATAGCGGGGAAGGGGCCTGGGCTGCACTGTCACAACAAGGATTGAGCCCCTCACAGCTCCCCTGCCATCCGCCCCTGACATGCCAATATCTTACAAATTGAGGTTGCAAGTGTTTTTGCCACTCTGCCCAAAAACACTGCTGACCCCAGTACACCAACCACTGCCACCTGAGTTAGGAAGCTTCTACCATGGTTAGAATGTTTTTGTTTGTCCCTGCCAGGCTTGCTTAAAACTTCTCTGAAATAGCCTTCTCCAACAGCAGTCAGTCCTGGTCAGGCATAGCTTTCATTTGTGTTTCTAGAGCAACTGTGCAGACTTTTCTTATTTCACTAAAATGCATTTTCCAGCCACAAAGTCAGATCCTGCACTTAACTTCTTGGACACTAACACCTGCTGCACGTGGCAAAGTGCTGGCCCACCTATATTTTTACTAAATCCTAATAAGTGGTACTTCTGCACATAAGAATCCAGGGAGTCCCAAGGCAAGAGATTATTAGTTTTAATTCACCAACCTCCTCCATGGTTAGCATCATAAGAAGCTTCACGTAAAGAATAATGCCAAAGACTGCTTGCAAGAGAGGTCTAAAGAAGCAACTTAAAAGTTGAACCAGGGCTTCTTGCAAACCAGGAAAGAACATAGTCAGTTGCTCCTTTGCTCCCCACCCCTCTACCTAACCTTGTTTGTACCAAGGAAAATGAAGAATTAGTATAGGAAGTAGTGGCAGACACATGTTTATTAAGGGTGCACCGATAAAGAATTTTGGGGCAGATAATGATGGCCTTATTAGCCAGCCATATTGGCTAATACCAATCCAATTGTCAATATGCAGCCCAACAGCTTGGACAGCAGCGTCCACCTAGTAAGTCTGTGGGGGGAAGGGGCATGGCAGGGGGAAGGGGCATGTGGGGTGCAGATTGAGGCCCACATGGTGAGGGAAGGAGTGGAGCTGGGGCAGGGGCAGATGCTGTACAGCTGGGACAGGGCAGGGAACGGAGCCATGGCTTGTCTGAAGTAGTGAGGGGTGGGGGAGGGGAGTGGCTCCTGCCACTGTGCACACCCCGGGGAGGCATGGGGAGCACATGCGCCCCCCCAGATCTATGCATGGAGCGAGGGTGGGCTGCCCGCTGCACACTCAG